CTCCCTTCCTTCCTTCCTCCTTCCTTCCTTCCTTTCTTCATCCCTTCCTTCCTTCTTTCCTTCCTTCATCCCTTCCTTCCTTCTTTTATTCCTTCCTTCCTTCTTCCTTTCCCCTGGCATGCTTGTAAGTCTTATGGTTACAAAAAATTGCTTGATTGAATGTTGGCAGAGTTTCCTGAAAAAACCCCATGTGGTTTGTTATATAAATATCTGATCCACATAACAATATTCCAGTCCAATCTCTAAATATTTAGATTTACTAGAAAGACTAAGAACAAGTCTGTAACCCTCTGACTTACGAATATATACATGATTTTATCCAGATGTTTGGTGAATAAGCATCTTCCAGTGTTGCAGCCTGTGAATGCAATAATAAGAGATGATTGAAAAAGCATTGGATACTATTATTGGATAATAGTATTGTTGTTATTATTAAACATGTTATTCTAATGTATTCAGTAATGATCCAAATTATGTCAGGAAAATGAAAATAAATAATACATAAATTAGAATAAAAAGAGAAAAACTGAAAAAAATACAATGCAGAAACTTGCATTGTTATACAAATAGTTTTCAGTTGTACCAATACAAACATATTTACTGTGTTGGACCATGACAGTTGATAAACAGTTCAGTGGTCTTCCAAACACATACTCTTATGGATAAAATCCAAAGTAATTAATGTCATTGTCTAAATGTTCATATTTGAATGAATTTGTGTCATTTTTAAAAAAAATCGTTGCATGTGGTCAATTGCCAATTATCCTCTGATTTTGTGTTAATTGTTAGGGAGACAAAGGTGCCATGGGAATCCGTGGACAACCGGTAAGTCTTAAGTCACTTACATTTATCTGTCAACACTGCTTCCAAATCTGCTGCTACTAAACTGATCTACATATGTGTGACAGAGAAAATGTCAGTTACTGGGTCTATGTCTACTCAGAAATAATCCAATAATAATGCCAGGTCTGTCACTATCTGTTGTTTGAGTTTATGAGAGTTATTCTCTTTAAGTATAATACATCTTGCTGTCAAATATATCCCCAAATACTTAACCTTATTCGTGACCTGTATCTTCAAAGCTTCCGCCAATTCTTCCTTTTGTCTTATTAACATATTCTTTGTCAAAACCTTCATTTTTATCTTTATTTATTTTCAGGCCTGCTACTTTTCCATATTCCTCTATCTTTCCTATCAATTTAAGTGCTGTTTCTAATGGGTCTTCTAAGATGAAAACCAGGTCATCTGCGAATGCTTGCAGGGGAACTCAAATTTTATAAAGGTTATTAACCCACCACACATCTACCTTCACTGGGAAATAAGAAAATTGATATTTTTCATCTGTCTATTTTTATCATCAGCTTCTTCTAATAAAGGTTTCTAACTTTCAGGGCAGTAAACAATGTACTTTATTATTGTAGGCCTGAACCTTTTCTTCAGATTCCTGAACACCACACACAAGTGTATAGAAGCTAAAGGGGGTGGGGAGAAAGAGTTTAGAGTTTAGAGTTTTATTTCATTTGTATGCCGCCCTTTTCCCTAAG